CCCCGGTTGTCATATTCGACCCCTTCCACAGTATTCCCCTTACCTTTTTCTCTACCTTTGTGTCTGTCTGCCTCTTTTACATCTGTGAATCGCTCTTCTGTTCCCCACCCCTCGACTTTCTGCTACTTTGATGAACCTTCCCTCAGTGAAGCCCGAAGCCAGCTAAATGGCTAATGATATCTATCAAAACGCCTGCCATTTGAAATAAATAAATAACATTTAAAGATACCTTTGATTGGCCAAAACTCACCAATTGAAAGTATGATGTGACTGGTTGTATCAATGGCCATAAAGTGGAACATCGAGAGTGCTGTTCATTTGAAATTTATCAAAACTTTTGAACGCACTAAAATCTTTTAACTTTAAGGCTTAGCATAATCAGTTTGTTCAGACACTGGAGGAGCCAATTAAATTAACAAAGTATATAAGGATGTAATTAAAACAATCGTAATTTTTAGAAATAGTCATTGCGTAATCTTAATGCGGTAAGCCTGGGAATCTAAAAAATATTAAAGGCCATCAATTAATTGAATGGCTATTTAACGACGGTTTAAGGTTGAACCCCCCCTCCCCCTCCCTCCATTATAACCGAGTATGGGTACTGCAATAGCCTGCTGGGTGGTGTTTTCAGATAGTTCTCACGTTAATTTGATGCGCATTGACGTGTTACGTGCATTGTAAAACCAGAATGTTGACAAGGGGATCATGTGTACTCGGGTTATTTCCAGAGAAAAATAAAAGGTTTGGTCAAAAGGCCTATTAAATTTAGCCAAACTTCAACATGTAAAGAACTATTTCAATTTAAAATTCATTCAATAATTGAAATAACAGAATAAGATAAAAGAAGAGCAAAGATTCCTTGAAATCCTCCATCATTTTTCGATATTGATTATAATGCAATTATGAATTTATTAAGATAAATTGTGTTGGCAATTTCTAGTCAGATCATACATGTTATTTTATTTTAATCTTGATAAGGGGCACGAATTAGATACGGGTTATGTAATTCTGAGATTTTCATATTGATCTATCGATCACAATAATGAGAGCTCAGATAGGCAAAGAAACGCACAACCACTTAAAAGCCTTTTCATAAGTGCTTGCCAAAACAGATAATGGTAAGTACAAATTAAACAAAATACAAAATAGCATACTCAGGAGGAGAAGTAGGGGAGAGATCCTGTTGTTTATTGATTTGAAAGGAATCGCCTCTTGGCGGTGGCATCTAAACAAATATAAAAGAATGAAACTCTATTTATCACATATCAAAGTGTATGAATGTGTTTACAGATGAGGTAATTACTTAAAATATTTGGTGGCATAATACATGCAACCATTGGTTACAAAATATTTCTAAATCTAAGTCTTCATAAGTCTTAAAGCATTTTCTATTTCGATTATGAAGTGTAATATTGTGTAGTTTTGTGCCCGTCCAACTAAAATTTTCAAATCGCGTATCAATACAGAATGTATAAGCCAATTTTCATATTAACTGAAATTGTTAGTGATAGCATTGTATTCTATTACCGAGGTGGTAAGAATTTCACACACGACAACTATAAATGATCAGATAAATCAAATTATTGAAAATCGATTGGAAATGCAAGATTCTGAAATAAGAGTATGGGCGATGGTAAGCGATGAATTCGATATTATTGATATGATTCAGGAAATTTAAATCGAACATTAATTCAACCAGTGCTTCTTTTCTACCTACGTACTAGTGCATTGGCCACTCAATCCTATAAATCGAAGTAATTTCGATATTAACTCTGTTTTCCAATGAACCCCCCAAACCTTCTCATTACTTTCACAAAATGCCTTCAAACCTGAGCTCCAAAGGCAGAAATACTTTCAAATATCGCAAGCAATGAAAACCAGGAAAATTAGAAACTTCATATTGTCTTTCCCACCCTCCCTGGTCTAATAAAGAGAATGTTTCCAAAGAAGCTGAAAATTTGAATTACTTTGGAAACAACTTGGAATTTTTTGAAATTGCTATTGTTAAATTGAACTTTTAAGGAACGTGTTTAGATTTACGCTTTCACATGTGTGTTTATGGAAGGAAACTCATGAGATTAGCATTCACATTACACACAAATTTACATTTGATGAACAAATAGCAGAAATTTTTAACTAAAGCCAATTATATTTAAAATGGAAAGGGTAGCGCTTGGATAAAGTTAAGTTAAGATATGAAGGATGAATTAATCTAGACTAATGATATTTAAATCATTATTCATCTAACTTATTCAATTTTGTTCATTAAATTATCATTATACTATTTAACAGACACTACACTGTAAAAATCAGCTAATGCTATGCAAATATGGCATTGAATTAGAGATGTAGTCGCCCAATTACGCAACTTCCAAATCTGACGATGATTTCCACAAGTGAATTGCTAGCCACTATTACATTCTACACCTCTATGTCCAGAGCAGTCTTCGAAATTATCGATACTAGCAGATAGCAGTCTTCTCTGAATGACCACTTACCATGCCAATTCTCATGAGACGAACATTTGTGATTTCGTTCCACCATTGTCTGCAAGAGAGCTTATCAGGCGGTGCTTATATTAACAGTCACCTACATTTTAATGTACCACTAACTACTAGAGCATATTTTGTGGGATTAAATAACTTCATGCATTCACTTGAATGAATATCCAATTTGTAAATTCGTGAAGACACAAATCAGTAAATATTATATATATATATATATATATATATATATATTATATTATATTTCACAAAACCTTATAGACTATAGACAACGTTAATATGGCATATTAACGTTGCAAGGAAATATTTAAAGTTGGTACTTACAGCCGATGTAGGAATTCGGGCATTGGCTCCTGAATTGCGAACAGTAAGAACCGTAGGGTGGATTTTTACTAGATCCTCTTGCCTTGGTGATGGATTTCTGCGCAAAATGAGGCAACAGAGAGAAACAGCTAATTAATAAATGTGCTCCAACATGCAATAAAAGACAGTTGGGTTGAATACATAGCG